AAGATTTCCTTTCATTCAGCGATATTTTACCTGTGACTACGGATCGCGATCAATTGAATCACTGCAAACCAACGACTTCATGACATGACGGGGCTATACATCACACACAATTACTTGATCAGATTTCAGCGAATCAGCATTCACATGGATGGAGAGAAAAGAGTTTAAACATTGTCTCAGTTTAGAGGATGGATTAGCATATACCTCATTCCCAGTCCAGCAGAGCTGGAACTTAAAATGCTATCGTATTGACATGAACAGTTAGAACAGCATTATGTACACTCAGTTTCAAATATCTCACTTATGTTGTAGCTTTCACCCGATTGAGCCAATTGCTTATAGTTTGCTCATAACTGTGTAAAAAAAGAAAAAGAAAAAAAAAGTGAGATAAATCCTGTATGTTTTTTTTTTTCCCTTGGGACCATTTTGTTTTTCTTTAGATCTTGTACAGATTTATGTTTTGGTTTGACTTATTTATTCCATCAGTAGTGCTTGGTTTTTATCATGTCCAATGGTTTGTTTTCTTAATAAAAGTCACAAAAACTTTTATAGAGTTGTGATGTTTCTTTCATTATTTTGGAGCAGAACAACAGGCCTTATAAAGGTACTTCTCAATAATTAATTATTAAAATACTTCTTAATATCTTCCTGCACAGGCAAGGCACAACAATCATTCCTGATTTAATTCTAGATTATAACTGAGACTGGGGGGGGTACTTTTTACTTAGTGTGAGAAAATAGTTTAATTTTATCGTTAAAATTTGAGATATTAAGCTGGAAATCCAGCTCGAGGTTACACTTCCAGCACCACAATACCCCGACGTTACTCAGACATCAGTGAAGTTTGAGAGTCAGAAGAAATCCAGACACACAACAGAGAAGTTCTTTCTTAATCTTTAAATCGGACTGTTCAGGAGTATACAGTACATAGAAAACAGTGACATTTACACCACATCGACATCTGTAAAAGGCTTTAAACCGTACATGGTGTCTGAAGCTGGTACATATAAAACATTACACTAATAAGACTCATCACTTATAAAGAACTCAACGTTTAAAGTCTGTACAAACGGGCTGATTTCCCCTGAAGTGCAAACCTCTGTAAATTTCAGTCTTCTCGACAGGCAGAAAAAATAAAATGCAGCACACATAAAAGCTATCTGTTGCTCCATGGCACTGTCCAAACACCCACGAGAAGGAGGCCTCCGATTAGCATTTACAAAGACTGGTGTCAACTACTATGTTGCATCACGAATTATGTACACCGCTATTTGGGAAGATTCAATATGATCCAAAACTGTGCTTTAGAGCAAGATAAGTCAAATAGAAGTTGCTACAGAAGATTGATGGCAGGAAAAGTTTGACATTTTAGCAAAATTGCTTATCCACCTCCTAGCTTAAGTAAAAGGCTAAGCTCGCGGCTAGTTAGCTTAAAAGGCAAAGTTTTACAGGGTGAACGGCTGGCCTGGTTAAAGGTACACCAATAAAATTTAGTATTGACATCATTTTAAAAATAATTTGTCTGTTATCAGTAAAAAAAACAACAACTGTGAATGAAAATAATGATTTTTAGTGGGTATTGATTGTGTTAGTGTAAGGATGCGGCTAGCTGTTGTGCTAAGCTAATCTAAGCTAACCTGATGCATCACACAAACATCAAGTTTCACCACATGAAACAACTTTGTGCAACTAAATAGTTTTTTAGTGGTGTATTGTGTCTTGAAGGACAATATTCATGTAAGCACTCCCTTCAGTTCAAGTTTAAGTATAATTGTGCTTTTACATCAGGTATTTTAAGGTTTAAATGAGACCTTCCTGCATGAGTGCGTTCATTGTTTTTAGTGTTTTTAGTGCATAATAAATGACTACATAGTAATGTGATTTTCATCTGTGCTCAGCTGAGTACAATACAGTCATACTCGGGTAATAATAAAACTTTAATCACAGTACCTTACAGAAAAGGGTGTATCTGCCGGTTTGTCTAAATCAAAGTGAATAAGCACTATCACCTAAATGTCACACCTCAGCTTCAGGGGACAACGACTTCATAATATCAACGTCATTGTAGGTTCCTTCAATCTTGAATCTTTAAAGTGTAGAGTGCAAAACTAAGTCAGTAGCGGCTCCTATAGTTTAATCTGGGCGATCCCCTCTCTTTCTACAGACTATATAAATCAGTGTTAGCTTATTTCCCTGCAAGAATAATCATTGGCTAGTGAACAACAAAATGACATGACGTCGTTATTAACAACGTCAGGTCCTCTGCGACTTAGCGGCTTTATTTCAGGGCAACAACAGGCGGGTTTAGTACACAAAAACGATCCTGACGCGTCAGCATGAGGTCTGTTTGGAGCTGTGGGCCAACGTTAAAACCAACCAGGTGATAAATCCCTAAAGCTTTCATGGAAATGCGAAACATTTGGAAATTGTACTGCAGCGTTACGATTAAAGTCTTCAGAGCGGTTTCTTTAACCAAACTACTGATTTATAATGTTTAAAAAATCCAGAGAGCCAACACCACAAAGTGTCCTTTTTATTCCCTTTTGTGCTTCTTGAGCCTGCATATAAAGTTTTAAACTTCAATTAGAGAGCACAATTTCCAAAGTACAATGCCTAAGATCAAGTAAAACCAAGAATTGGACTATTTATTATATAATATTGTGGTTTAAGATTTAAAAGTCTCAAGTTTGGGGGATTTCAGGTCTTACATTTATAGATAAACGTGAGATTGGAAAGAAAAAGTATTTAAAACTAAGATCAAATCACAATATTTTAAAATCGGACATATAAAATGACAACATCATAATATTGTGATGTCATTCCCAAAGTGTGAAAGCAAAGTGCAATATTACAAAAATTATAACTTTAAATACAAGGTTAAAAAGAGAGATTTAAGCAAGCAGAATTGTAATAATGTGGGAAAAGGCATGTGTGGAGTTTGTTCCCTACGAGCTTCAGTATACTGAAATTATATTTAAAGATTTACACAGTGAATTCCTCCCAAATGTACCACTTTTCCTTCATATTAACTCTCTTCCATCAATTTGACCAACTCCCGATTCAAAATATTCCCTTTTTGTCTCTGAAATGTTTCCTTAAAATGTTAAAGCTTCATGTTTTGTAATGCTTCTGCACAAAATATCCAGACTTTTCCTCTAAAAATCCAAAGAAGCTCTCCATAAAATCCCCGTGACTCCAACACTTGGTAGCACAATCTCACAACCAAATAAATATTTTTGTTTTAAATGCTCTGAGTTTTAAAAAAATATATGACAACCGCCCCTCTGCTCGGGAGAGTGGTGAAGTGTGAGCGTAGAGGTTCGTTTTCCTTCGTTTTCCCTTCGGTTTGAACTGACCTGTGTGTTGCATCTCTTTGTTTTTTATGGACATAAAAAGCCTAGAAACAGAACACGAGGCTAATCGGCTCCTCTTCCTCAACGCGTTAGAAACCACGAGATCCCACTTGAACATCGATATTGCACTGAAGCAGCTTATTTGGACGACAGTAGCTACTAGTGATATGCATAAATACAGTAGAAAAATAGGTTAGGGGCCATCTGCTTTAGGGGGTTTGGGGGGGGAGGCGGGGGCTGACCGGCTCAGAAGGTCTGGTCGTCGTGGCAGGACTCGGTGTCGTGTCCGAAGGCCTCGCAGATGTCGCAGTACGGGCGCTCGTCGGCACGGCGACCGTGGTAGGCGGTGTGCGGCCCGGAGTCGGGGCTCTGCGCCTGCGTGGGGCAGTCCTCCGTGTCGTGCAGGTCGAAGCAGTCGCAGATGTCGCAGAACAGCCGCGGCGGAGCCTTCTTCTCACGCCGCGCCGCGCTCGGCTCGAACCTGCCGGGGGGAAAGGGACAGAGGCTTCAGACGGAGGGAAAAAACGGTAAAAGCAACGAGGGACAGAGGCTTCAGACGGAGGGAAAAAACGGTAAAAAGCAACAAAAAAACGAAGGGCTTCCAGACACCGGAGGCCTCTGGGTGTGAGGACGAGTCAAAGCCACTCAGGCCATCTGTAAGAAAAGGGGTCTTTTTGTTTATTTGTACTACCATGTTTGAATGTGGCTCAAAATGTCGGGACATTTATGAGACTTTTGTATGTTTTTTTGGGAAAATTCAATAAAAACAATTTTTTAAAAAAGAAAAAAGAAAAGGGGTCTGTTCTACTCTGGACAGCCCACCAAAGAACCATCCCATTTCTGAGCCTGGGGGGGGGCATTAAGAAGCTCAAACTCATGTCTGAATATATCAGAAAAGATTTTATGTACAACCCAATAAATAAGATAAGATAAGTAAGTAAGTAAGTAAGTAAGTAAGTAAGTAAGTAAGTAAGTAAGTAAGTAAGTAAGTGAGTAAGTGAGTGAGTGAGTGAGTGAGTGAGTGAGTGAGTGAGTGAGTGAGTGAGTAAGTAAGTAAGTAAGATAAAAATAAAAGAAAGACAAAATAAATAAGAGAAAAATTTAGAGCGAAAGAATTAGAGAAATAAAGTGAGGAAATATCGATCTATCCATCTAAACGTGTCCAAATCTGACAGGTTTGGCAGCTAAATCGGGCATTTTGAGAGGGTCTTTATGATTCCAAGCATGTTAGAAAACCCCCAATAAAAGGAGAGCCTCCACCTCAGGCTCTGTTTGCCAACCGGGGCGACTCTAAGTTCAAAGGTGAACAATCTGGAGGCTCCTAAAAGGTGGGCAGGGTCAGAAAGAGGAGAAGCAACATGT